AGTGTCTAGTTTGGATCCTTGTATATCGTTGATTCTGACTTTCCTTCGAGTTATGAAGAATCGAATGGAGAAAAAAATAGCAAGTTAATCAAAATATCAGGCAGAGCAGTTTCATCCCAGGCAGACAAACTGCAGACAACATCATTGTTCTTCAAGAAGTCCTACACTCGCTCACGAAGAAAAAAGAGAAAAGAGGAGTGGTGTTGACTAGGGGTGGGCAACGGGAAACGGGTATTTGGGTATACCCGTACCCGTCCCGTTTTTTAAGGGTTACGGGTACTCATATTACCCGTAATATTATAAACGGATGGGACTTGGGATTGTACATTCCTAATATGGGTACCCGCGGGTTACCCGCAAATACCCGTTTGGGTAATATGGGTACCCGTTATTCCCATTCAAAAGGCAGATGGAATTTCAGCCCACAGTGACTGAGCGGCACAGCCCAGCCCAATTCCCTTTCGGCCTTGCAATTCCTGCCTTTCAATTTCAGTCTCAGACAGAGAGACTCAGTCAGCGACTCAGGCTCAGAGAGACCTAGCGCTCCGCCTCCGCGCGACCGCGCCTCCGCTTCCTCCTCCGTTCATCGCCGCGGGCCGCAGCAGGTGAAGGACAACAACAGGTGAAGGACAGCAACCTGCAGAATGGAGAATGGCGACAGCATCCTGTAGTGGGAGAATGGCAGCAGCAGCCATTCCGAACTTTTGCTATGCTAATACATGTTTTCTTTGTGGAATGTATTAGAATAGCTGCCTACTCCGAACTTTTGCTCCCACCGTCTTTTCTCTGCTAATACATGTTTATGTAGTGGATTTGGGATGTAATTATCTTTAGCTAAAACGTCATCTGGTTTTAGGGACATGTTTTGAAATGAATGCTTGTGTATATAGAGATTGAATTTATGTTTTCGATCATATCGTGTTCTTATTATTCCCCGAAAGAGCATGTTATTATAAAGATATGTAATGTGATGTCATTTAAACTTTGGGTATTTATGGGTAGTATGGGTACCCGTTATCCGCCACGTACGGGTAATGGGTACCCGTTTCCCATATGGGTTTGGGATATGGGATGGATTTTGGTCTCCAAATGGGACTGGGTACCCGTTTAAAACGGGACGGATCCCGTCCCGTCCCGTTGCCCACCCCTAGTGTTGACAATTGACTTGGAGAAGGCATATGACAAACTGCTTTAACCAATGTTGATTCTGTTTATCAGGTTCCAAATTTGTATCGAAAAGTAATTGATCACTATTCGGCATTCGCTAATGGGTTTGAGCTTTGGGACTGTGATTCAATTAATTATCTTAGCTTAATGGTTACCTTTATTTACGTATCCAAAAAAGTAGAGTAGAGTGGACAATTGCAAAATATACAGAGTGACACTATTAAGTATTAAAATGACACCCTAATCGATTGATGCTTTGTCTTTTTTTTTTTTTTTTCTTAGGTAGATAGTAATAGATTGGGAATTACATATTGAAAATAAAAGGCGTAAATAAGCCAAGTGCTGATTTATCGATGCAAGAGTTATTTTTGCCACGCAATGGGCAACCTTGTTAGTTCTACGAGGGGAGAAAACAAAACGACTAAACGAGAAGGAGGTCTTCATCAATCGAATTTCCTCAAGAATCGCGCCACCACGATCATGTTGAACATCATTGTCCGAAGCTCGGCAGATCACCAGTTGAGAATCACCACAAAAACAAACAGAAGAGACACCCCGAGTTAAGCACCAATCCATTTCATCTCTTAACGCTAACAACTCTATTAAAAATGGACCAGACAATTCGTCATAATACTTACCGTAGACGTATTGTTATTGAGGGACACTATTAAAATGACACCCTAATCGATTGCTACTTGTTATTGTAAGGGCTTTCCACGCTTAAAATTAGAATATCGGGCCTAATCCCCTTTCCCATGAAAGTCAATAGGGCTTTATCTGTGGGCCTAGTAAAAAGCCTAAAGTTGAGGGCTGGAACCTCCAAGTTTTGGAGCTGAAGTTGTACGTGGGAAGTGGAAAAAAATGAGGGACTTAATAAACCAAATTCCCCCTGATGGAAATTAAGTGGAGAGCTTCATTTTTTGAATGATGAAAAAGCTGTAAAACTCTGTAACCAATTGACTACGCGCATAAAGATAAATAATAAATGTAGGTATTATCATTATGAATAGAAAATGTGCATGCAAGAATCATAATAATCTTCCTTGCTCATGCATATATATAGTGGCGTAGTCAGAAATTCATTTAAGGTAGGTCCTACGTGAAGTTTTAGGAGGTGGTTTCATATTCTAAAAACATTCTAAAGTACGCTCATCTTACAAATTATAAGGGAATGTCATTTTCAAAGTACACCGATAAATGATTTATAATTTCACCACTCATATGATTCTGAAGTGTCAAGTTGATCATTGCATTACGGGCTCTTTCAACACTTGATATGACAACAGCTCGTAGCAATAGACACCACTAAGTTTTGAGTTTTAAGTAGAGATCACAAAATATTATTATTTTTGTAAAATTATTTACAATAATAGGAAGAACTTGTGTTCAATCTATAATTACGTAAAAAAATTTATTACTATATTTATGGGTTACTACTACATTTTGGAGCCAAAGTGTTGCACTACATATATAAGTAATAAGTATAAATAAAATCAATAGATATCTAAAGAGTAGATTATTTTATGAAAAATAAATATAATGCCAATCATCTTTCTATATAATCCAAATTGTCGCTAGCCTAACTATCTGGTGTCACTATCGTTACGATAATTTGTTCGGATTCCTTTTGTTGCACTAGTTGAACATCCTCCTCCTCCTTCTGTTTTGAAGAGACTTGTTCTGTTGCCAGATTTTCTTCCATTGCTTTAGGAATAGGTAGTTGATCAGCAGACGATTGACCATCACCGCCGGTTGTATTATTCTCGCCGGAATTCCAGAATATATAGCCTACAAAACACATATAGAAGAGAACCGAGCCCCAAAGTGGTGTCCAATAAATCAAACTCTCCGCCACGATCGCCCAGAAGACATCTCTCAAATAGACATCCATGAAAACGAATCCGTGTTTTGTTCGAACGCAAACGCAGACCAATATCGTGAGTGCTACCAATAGCTGATACACCAAAGAATGGTCTTGATGAGGCTGAGGGAAATGCTTAGCAAGCATTGCAGCTTGTAGAACAACCATCTCCAGGATGATTTTCCGAGCAGATCCCAGGCGAGGCAGCTCATGTGGGAAACACCAAGGTATGAATGAAAAAAGACTGACGAGGTCAACTGCAAGAGCAATCGCATAATAAGCACCGGTTCCCAGCTTTGACTCAAGGTTGATCGTTCTCATGAATGCAATAACAGACCAAGTATCCCCAATCACCCCCAAAATCAGCCAAGGTGCCAAAAACAGGGCCGAAACAATTTCTGGGTGTATATCTTCATCTCCACCAAACACTGAACACACTTAGCTTGTTATATATTAGTGGACAGATATTAAGTAGAAAGCAAATAAAGTGGAGGAAAATATAGGGAAATCATTGGATTGCAGTACTTACCCGCAAATGTATATGCAAATCGTGAGTTTCCTGATAACAAAAAAAAAAGGAATTAATTTGGTTGATTGAGGAGGACGAAATTCCATAAGAATTGAAGAAGAATAGTGCATGGTTCGTAGAACAAAAGATATATTAGTGGTATAACAATAGGTCAATAAATAGGATACACGTATAATATTGTTGTAAACATCAAACATCACAATTATAGTAGTATAGTAATTGCTGGTAATGGTATACCGTGGGTTGGTAGTTCAACCACGTTACGGAGATATTTAAAGAACGAATGAAAACCTAGCCTCATTGAAACACAGAACGAGAACTCAAGTTACCAAGAAAATACGTTATGAGCTAGCTACGTATGGTAAATGCTAGTATAATGTGACTTAAAACCTAAGTTCGATTCAACACCATGTTTAGTGAGGCGAGGAAAGCAAACATGAAACTTAAACTTACCATGTTTATTGTTTGCAGGGGAAAGCGGAACCGTGTTATCGGTTTGTCGAATGGAGGAAGAAGAAGCCATGTCGATCAGAAGTTAGAAGAAGAGCAAGGAGAAGTAGTTCTCATCACATCATAGCAACTCGTGCGTGTGTGTATATGAATAGGAGGAGAGTTGGTTTCATAACATTGGTTTCGGAGAAGAAAAAGGATTAGTGAATCCGAAAGAAGTATTGGTGGCTAACTTAGGGATGGCAATGGGTCGGGTTGGGTCGGGTTTTGCCAAACCCAAACCCAAATCCATGGGTTTATCTTTGAAAAAAACCCGGGGTAAAACCCACTGGGTTTGAAAAACTCAAACCCAACCCAACCCGTTGGGCATCCGCGGGTTCATGGGTACCCTCGGGTTTTGTCGTAAAAAATTTACAATTACAAGTTCTTATCAAAATTAAAGTCAAATATCAATCTCTCAATACAAATTATCCATATATAAAACACCATTCTAGAAAATTCAAGCAAATCACAAATTAACTATACAAATTGTTCAATACCAATCTAGAAAACTCAAGAAAATTGAAGCAAATCACAAATTATCCATAAATAACATGTTTAATTGAAAGCTTCTTTCTTTTAATTAAGTTTCTTTACTCTCCACTCCATAACATCAACTTCATTCTACACAATTAAAAAGAAAAATTAGACATGTCTCCACAAACATAAATAAGATTAGTTGTTTAGAATATTAAATATACCGAAAAAATTAATTATATGGGTGGGCGGGTACCCACGGGTCGGGTTTACTTAAACCCAAACCCAACCCAACCCGATAAATAGTAAACGGGTTTAAACCCAAACCCGATCCAAAACCCGTCAACACAGATTTTACCCGCGTTGACCGGGTTGGGTCGGATGGGTACCCGTGGGTTCGGGTTTTGTTGCCATCCCTAGGCTAACTAAACCACAATACATATTGATTTCATTGAAGACATAAACATTAATTAACAATAACAATACACCTAAACTAGAACAACAAACCAGAACCACAACAGAACGGAGCCTCCAAATACAAATCCAGCCCACGAGCATGGATCTAACCCACTACAATAAGATTACAAAAGTCCATGGACTTAAAATAACACTACAGCTACCCAAACGGCATGCCACCTAGCCCATCAGATGAGCAACCCAGCCGGCACAAGCATTGCCAAATTGTGTCCATAGTGGCAGTGGAACATCTTCCTCGGCTTCCCTCAATCCTTCTTCATCTGCATTTAAACCCCTGGACTCCAAATAGAAAAGCAAACCAGCAATGCTGAAGCAACCAACCATTAGAAGCCAAGGGTATGGAGAAGATGGGCCGAGGCGGGGATCAACGCATGATGGTGCTACAGCCATCGAAGGTGAAGGGGCAGCGGCAGGGGCAGATGGTGACAAACCGACACAATAACCTGCAATTGTACCGTGGTGAAGGACTCTAATGATGTAGGTGAGAAGGGAGATGAGAAGTCCATTCACCAAGTTGAAGTCGGTGGATGGACGAATGGCCAAAATGCAGGCTGTGAACATGCCAATAAGGGTAAGAATGAAGATCAAATAGCTCAAATCCGACTCTCCTAACCAAATATAGGAAGCACTACAAGCCACAACCGCCGCAAGACCGACTAGTTTGCCAAATGTCCCATATTTGCGCCTACACCAATTTTTCTTCCTAATCCAGTAGGCACAATAGAAAAAGATGACGATAAAGCCAAAGACAGCAACGGCAAGAAACAACCACCAAAAAGAACCTCTTTTCTTGAAGAACTTGGTGTAATAGAAAGTAGTGAGATGGATGATAAAGAAGGCAATGGTAATAAGCATCAGAACTAAGGTGTCGGGGACCCGGCTGAATAGCCAATAGAACAAAGAAAAAGATGGAGGAACGGGTAGCCTGTGGTACGAAGAATGGGGGGACAGCTTGATTGACGGAGGAGTTACGAGACGCGGGTGAGCAGCACCTTGATTATTCATGATTCTTTTTCAATTTGTTTCTGGTGAGAATGCTACTGCGAAGAGAAGCGAAGCAGAGCAGGAGAAGAGAAGTGGAGCGGGGTAAATTTTCATGCCCAAAACCATTGTTCAATTTATAGAAGAAGAAACCCATTTTCGCAAATGCAGAAACTCAAGTCTGGGTTATGACTTTGGCGCTGGGAAGAAACCAGGATACAAAACACAGAACCCCCCATTAAGCTCTGATCTGATGGGTGCAAAGAAGTTAATATAGCCCTTGGTTTCCTAGAAATTGATAAAAAAGCCATTCAGAACACAAAAGAGAGAACTTCAAGAGGAAGTGCCTGCTTAATCCGTCGGATTATCAAGGGTATTCAAGAAACCAGAAAACTAAGAGCAGAACCCCATTTGTGCATGGAAGAAATTAGACCGAAAGTAATTGGCTTTTCAAACAAAATTCAGACAGATCACATCAAAATTCATTCTCACCTCATTAATCAAGCCTCTGATCCCTGCCTGCATGCTTCTGGGGAGGAGGAGACGAGACAGCCATCGCGTCCTTCCTTCTATTTTCAAGCGCCAACCATGGTAAATGCATAATTACTTTTGAGTTCCGGTGATTGACATTTAAGGAATGGAGTTTAACCATTAGGGGAAGAGAAGTATACAGAACTGAGAAGTGGGGAGTGACAACAAAGTTGGATTTGAACCAAGTTCTGGGGCCTGGTGGAGATGGAGACGGAAGAACCAAGAAGACGAAGAAAGAAGGTACTGGGAAATTGGGAAATTTTAGAGCAGATGTGAGGACTGAGGGTGTCGATTCGGCTCTTGCTCAAACTTTCTATTTGGTCCATCTTTGCAGCCCGCAATCGGTGCCCACTAATTATTGGGCCATCCGGTCAGCCCAATAATTACACACAAACTACCCACCCAAACTATTATCCGTCGGAGAGGATTCTGGCACTAATCGAGATTTTTTTTTTCGCAAGAAGAGGAGTTAACAAAATATAAATTTAATAATTAGAGAAATTGAACTGAATGAGGGATCTAATCACATAAATAATTATAGGATTATTTCCTAAAACTCCCCGATGGCCATGAGATAACATCGGTTGGAATATTTGATTTTGAGTAGGAATTTCCAGTTGGTAGATATTTTGCAGAAACTAATTGACAAGTTTCTGAAGGTAAAATTGATTAGGGTAACATTTCCATATAAATTTTCGTAGGTTGCAGCCAAGAAATTTCCGCGGAATTACATGGACATTTTAGTATAATATTGCGTTTTAGTAGCTTTTCTTCAATAATGATTAGAAATTTTTACCGTATTTGACTCTCTTGGAGATTATTATATGAATTCATTGTTATCGTAGGACACATAGTTATTTGCTCTGTTATCAAGATCGAGTTGAGCCGGTCGGTCCGACCAATAAAATCGTAACCCGGACACTAAATCGGATCGGATCAGTCAAAAAAACGCTGCGACTGAAAATGACGGTTGGGAAGCAGTCAAAGTGGTTAACCGCTCGGACCGTTCAGACCGCCTGACCGATTTTCAACATAAAGCCGTTAAAAAAACTGTCATTAATTACCTTGAGCCAAACACATATGAAAAGTGAGTTATTACAAAAATTAAATTTTATACCCGGCCCAATGTATTGATTTCCTATTCCCGGACCCTCTTCGATTTGATTTCACATTTATTTTTTCTCGGCCCAATGTATTGATTCTCTATTCCCGGACCCTCTTCAATTTGATTTCACATTTATTTTTTCTCGGGCACACAATCGTTTTCTTAATTGACCAATTCCCCGGGACTTTTAACTCTTTCCTCTTTTCTTTCTTCCTGCTTCCTCTATTTGCTTCCTTGCCTTTGATTTTAATGTTTTTCACTCTGTTTTTCCAACTTTCAAACTTTTCAAGCCATACTTGGCATTTCGCTCCCCTGTTCTAGGGTTTTTTGCTGGGATTTGCTCTTCTTAGGAGTTGGATTATGCATCTTGGGTCTTCTCTCATGATGGTCGGTTTATCAATTTATGTGGTGAATCGATTCTCTGGTTTTCCCCTTCGTTCTTCCCAAGTGGTTGTTCTGCATCTAGGTGGCCGACGGAGGATGGATTGTAGTGTCTAGCCTTGCTGCTCGTGTATTCAGTTATTTGATCTGGGGATCTGGGTTCTTCTGCTTCCCTTGACCAAGTCTTGGAGCTTCTTCTTCCCCTGCCTCTTCAGCTATGAGCATTTCGATCCTCATCTCTGTCCACCGTCATGTAATCTCTCACCCGTGATTCACTGTGTTGAGCGTCTTCGAGCAACTCCCAGGTGGAGGCTAATGACATTGTGTTCAATCGTTATGGACTTGGTCGGATCGGACGAGCTGATTGCGCTTGGTGCTACTTCGTTTGTTTTGATTGCAAGAGAGCTTTCGGTGTTTACTGTTTTTGGTGCAAGTGTTTCATATCCTTTATTGGATGGCTCCTTCTGAGTTTTGTACTCTTCTTGATGTATCTCTAAAGCGCAGATTGAGCATCTATGTGCTTATGTTTGTCTGTCCTTGTTCTATTTTTGGTTGCTTTGTTGGTTTTCTTGTAATCGATCATTCAAAATGCAATGCAAGTAATCCCTTTGTAAAAAAAAGTTCATAGAATACAGGTGATTGCTTCTTTTGCTTAGGAATTGAAAACTTTTATATTTTGGTTAATTCTGAATCGTTTTGAATTTTGTGGTGGAATGTATTGAAGGAACATTCAATTTTAAAGGATAAGAAGGGGTAAAAATTACCGAAAAATTGATCACTGATTGGGTTAATTAAATGTACAGATTATGGTGATTTTCAATGTGTAAGTATTTATATTTATGTAATTCAAAATGCTAGAGGAATTATGTGTAGAATTTTGGATCTTAAGTATAAAATGGAGAAATTTATAAAATTAAGATTCGTGTTCTATTACTTTATTTTGGGAACAATATGATTCATGTGGGATTTGGCCTATATAACTATAGTAGCCATGTTTTAAATTTGTCTAAGAGTAATGAACTCTATTTTTAATTTATAGTGTAGTGTGTTGTTTTGCATGTGTTATTTATAAGGTATCGGTTCATTAGCGGGGTATTAACGGCTTAATACCGGTCAAACCAGTAAAGTGCGAGCCGTTCGCTATACCGGCCTATACTCCGGTTCGATTCTGACAACATTGGTTATTTGAGTAGATTTCCTTTCTTCACTTTTTATCATCTACAACATATGTTGGTGGTTGAGGTGTCGTTACCTCAGACTCGGCCTAGAATTCATTCTCAATAAAATACAGCACAAAAAATGTGATTTCCTTGGATAAAGATAAGAGTGAGTATTTGGTGGGCAGCCTGTTCTTTTCAAGAGTAATGCTATGCAGATGTCTGGATTCCAAGAGGGACAGTTATCAGTAAGATACTTTGGACTTCCATTATTTTTTGGGAAGCTTTCTTCCACTGACTGTGACAAGCTGGTGGCCAAGATCACGCAAAAAATTTGGACCTGGCGTGCCAAGCAGGTGAGTTATGCAGGTTGCCTAGAGCTAATCAATTATGTCATAATGGGATTGCTGCAATTTTGGATGCAGATCTTTCTTCTATCTAAGAAAATTCTCAAGAGAGTGTATACTTTCTGCTCTAATTTTCTTTGGCATGGGTGAATGAAGGTAGAGCAAAAATTGGATGGGATAGATTAGCACGGCCGAAATTGGACGGAGGTCTTGGAATAAAGGATCTATTGGCTTGGAATTGAGCCTGTTCTATCAGGAATTCATGATGATTTGACTACTAATTATGAAAAATGGAACTATTTGGGTTGCCTGGATGTGGTGTCATAAGGTGAAGCAAGATAGCATTTGGACTATGAGTATTAGTCCTAGTAGCTCGTGGGCATGGTGAAGAGCTCTGAAAGTTAGGTCTCTACTTCTAGCTCATTTGACGATGTCTGGTACTACACCTTTTTGGGATGGAAAGTTGATGCATGTGTATAGAGTGTCTACAGTTTGGAATACTTTGAGAGAAAGATACCAGGAAGTGGATTGGCCTGGTCTGGTTTGGGGGAAATGCTACCTACCTAATAAAAGTTTTCTTGCATGGCTCGTCTTGCTTGATGGCAATGTCACTCGAGATAAATTGTTAAAGTGGGTAAGGATAGAAAATGGATCTTGTTTGCTATGCCACTCCTCTATTGAAACCAAGGAGCATTTGTTTTTTCAGTGTAGTTTCTCAATGCAGGTGGTTACTTGTTGGAGAGATGTCCACCAGTTCTGCAGATCGAGTTGTCATGACACTGTGAATGCTGCAGTTGCTTTATGTAGCGAGATGACACCAGCTGGGAGGGTTGATGGAATTTTTTGGTGCACGTGTATCGCCTATGTGTGGCGCGGGCGGTGTAATAGACAACATCAATCACCACCCAGGGATGCTGCTACTATTAGTCTATTGATTCTCTCTAATTTATTGTATCTTGGTAGTGCAAGTGGTAGTCTGCAGTCAGATATTAGTCTTGTTGGCCTTATTAGTTGACGTGGGTCTGCCGGTGTAGGAATGTGGGGAGTTTTGGGAGTTTCATTGTTTCACAGGGATGCTCACCTCGAGCTTTCCTTTCGTTGTATTGGTTCCTATATGTACAATGCATATAGTTTGGTAATACAAAACAAATGATTCACCGGAAAAAAAAAGATAAGAGTGAGTAGGGAAGGAAGGGACGGGGGCTCGAATATATATCTATAATAAAGAATTTTCTAAGCCGTAGTAGTTTTGACATGTGATTAGGGTTGATAATCGGGTCGGTCCGGTTATAATCGGAATCATTCAATCCCTTCTCGTTTAATCGTTTTGTCCTTTCTGTTTGTCGTTAACCACATTATTTATATTAGTCGGTTAACCATAATTGTATAATCAGTACTCGACCGAAAGCAAGTGATTTGACAAGATTATACCAAAATAACCAATCGGTAACCTAACCAACAAAAGACCTCCTCCTTTTTTCAATTGTGCATTTTTTTTAGATT